AGAATAGGGTCTTTATTTAAACAAAGGTGTGGGTGATTGTGATTTATCCTTTGTATTCAAGTTTATTACCCCCTTTTTCATTACTTTTCCTACTTCTATTCCTCTTCTTTGTGCCAGTTTCTACCCCAAGGTGGCCTTTACTGAGTTCCTCTGCTTCAACATATAACATAATACAACCGGCCACCAGATACTGAGTCTAGAGCATGGTGCTGTCCAGGTGATTGTTTCCTGTAGGCCGGAAATCTCTTATAACCACACTTTGTGAAAGTCTCCAAAACTCTCCTGCTCACTTAGGATGCTATAATCATCCTACTGACTCTTTCTCTTCCTCTTCCTTTGTAAAGGGTCTGTATTTTCTCTCTTCTCATGACTCTTACTTGTGATTCCTGGAATCTACCTTCTTCTCATGACTCTTAATTGTATTCCCTATCACCACTGCTCCAAGAAATTATTATAGTGAAAGATTGTTCAAGGTTCTTTTTTGTCCTCTTGAGTTTTAAATTTAGCCTCTGTCTATACCCAGTTCCCTGTACATGGGGATGGTTTAATTGATCCCAACTGTCACATAAAGAGAAGTATTTCTCATATCCTATCATCAAGACTCCATTCAGTTTACCTTTCTGACCTCACCTCTTATTAGCATCTTAGTATGAATCACACATATTATTTTGTTCTTTTTGTTCAATAAAACTCTCATCTTTACCTTTTTCTGAGCCCATTTACAGTATGGAATATTTTCCTCCTAAATCCATCATCTATCAACCACTTTAAACATTTAGCTCAAATGCTTCCACCATTCCTTTCCTAATAGTGACAGCTGGAATTGACCACCATCCTTATGTCTGTTTTTCTCATTTTATTAGTACTGTTCAGATAATTCATTGATTGTTTTCATGAACAAGCTGGAGAGTGGAACCAGTAGAAATTTCCAGAAGGATGGATATTCAAATCCTTCCTACCAGTACTCTTCAGTCTTCTTGATTACCTTTTATGAGTGGAAAAGTGGAACAGTTTATTAGCCTGAATTTCAGAATGTATAAAAGTAATATGCAGGTGTACAAGCCAGTTTTAAGAACTAAGGAAAACATGAAGAATCAGGACCTCAATAAACCACAAAAATAACTATAGAATATTTACATGTATATCTCTTCTTCTGTGGGTCTGAAATATCCTTAAGTCTAGCAAGGATGGCGCCAATGGACCTACCAAGGTGGGTGGGGGAAAGCCTACAGCTTCAACCATACACGAAGAATTCTAGGCAACTGAGGAAAGCTAGGAACGGGAGGAATAGTTTTCCCCAGGGAAAATCACACCAAATTTTGTTCAAATGTTCAGCCCTGCAAACCTGTGTACAAATAACATCATATGGGCCCAATAAGTTATATTTAGGAATGTGTATATGTATACATACATATATATGCATGCAATAAAAATTAGTGAAAACAGAGGCCATGAATTTGAAGGAGATGGACGAGGTATATGGAAGAGTTTGGATAGAGGAAAGAGAAGGGAGAAATGCTACAATTATAATAAATTTTTAAAAATTTTAATAAAGAATGAAAGTAAAGAAGAATAACAGTTAGGAGCCTAGTGCAGCTTGTCAAACATATTGTTCCAAAAGTTGAAAGGTGGATGCAGAACAATGCTCATGATTTCCATGCAGATCTGAGTACCAGACCAGCCAAGAACATATAGATATAACATATCTAATAAAACAACCAACCAAATAAACAAAGTAATCTCTGCACTTGGAATGCTGAGACTAATGAAACTAGAAATGGAACCATAAAGACGGAAATTTTTTTTAAGGAAAGGGGATGTAAATGATAATAAAATGCATGTGACCCAAAGGAGAATACTGAGGGCAGAAGGGTATGAACATGAAGGAGGGGCAGAGAGAAGAAGAAAGGAGCAGGAGAAGAGAATCAAAAGCAAGGAGTGGGCAGTGTGGGGTAGAAGTAAAGAATATATACTTTGAAACTCAAGTCTGAGGTAATGTATGAAAAAACATCTTATACTTCACAGTCAGGAACTGCCTGGGGTAAGCTCTGCTACTACTTTGCTGATGGCTTCAGAAAAGGCATTTAAAATATCAGTAATTACATGAAATATACATGGGCTAAATAATCTAGCTATGAGTCAAAAGTCATCAGTGAAAGTTATCACCAAAGCTAATGTGCCACTATTGAAAATATCTTTCTGGTCCCATCATTATTGTAGCTCGTAAGCCTTACAAAAGAACTATTGATTACTCTTCTCCCCAGGCAGGTTGCATAGCACCCTCCAAACCTACGAGAGATAATCCTCAGGAAGGAGCCTTCCAGGTCAGTTTCAGGTTATTTCCTCCAAATTCTGTGTCCAAAGTTTGTTGTGTCTTAGTAATGGGGTATTACCTTCAAGTTCTGGCAAGCAATTAAAGGTGATGACAATCAACTATATTTTGGGGATCCACTTGTATTTCCCCAAATAATAACTTGAAGGGATGTTTGTCATGCTTGGCACTGAAGTTTTTGTTACATAGTCCTTGGCTTTTGTAGGAAATAATACTACTCTGTGTTGGGTAATGCCATTAATATACACAAACACACACATGTACACAGTGAGTGAAGTTCTGAGTAAATGTGGATTATTAGACATGGCCACAACCATAGCAAAGGACCTGATACCACAATCCTACGTAAGTGGCAAAGTGTGGTGATATTTTGTTTATGCTCTAACAAATAAAGTTTGCCTGGAGACCAGAGTGCAGAGCTAGCTCTAGTTAACCATAGAGGCCAGGCAGTGGTGGCATACACCTTTAATCCCAGCACTTGGGATGAGGAAGCAGAAAGATCAGGAGTTCAAGGTAACCCTGGGCTACATGAGATTGATTCAGTCTAAAAGAGAAATAGAGCCGGGTGGTGTAGGCTCACACCTTTGATCTCAGCACTTGGGATCTTATGCCTTTGATCCCAGTACTTGGAAGGCATACACCTTTAATCCCAGCATTAGGGAGGTGGAGACAGGAATATAAGGCAGGAGGAGACAGGAGCTCAGCCCCCTTTCCATCTGAGGATTTGGTATAGGTAAGAAGTGTCTCTAGTGGCTGGCTCATTTACTTCTCTGATCTTTCAGCATTTATGCCTATATCTGATTCCGGGTCTTTATTAATAAGGCCAATTAACATTAATGCTACATCTGTTTTCCAACTTTGAGGCACAAATTCATGAAAAAGCTTCTTGCCTGTGGCTTTGCAGCCACCTGCACAGGCCAGAGCCACACATGGCTGGAGTCACTACCCCACTGGCTAGGTTTTCCTCTCTTTTTTTCCCCTAAGCCTCTGAGCAAGTTTGGGATTTTCTTTCTGTTTCAGCCTTTACAACAAACTCCACAGGTGTAAGAGCTCAATATGTTGCCAATATTAGCCCCTCACCTCCAGCCATCTCTGACTTCCACAGTAAATAGAAACCAAATTAAGAAGCTAGACAAATTGTAATTGAATCGTTGGCTTTTGAAAATGTTAATGCAAAAGATAAACAAGAAAAACACAGCCATTCATAGGGAGATTCCCAGGGACAGAAACCTTAACTACTTGAAGACCCTGGCACCAGTGGCAGACCAGACCTTGCCAAGTCCTACCCTAGGTATGGACACAAAACTAGTGGTCCCTTCATAATTTCAGGAGGGCCCCAGAGAAAGCCTTGGGTTGGTCTCCCTCCCAGAAATGTAAGGTATAGAGTTGGGAATGAGTTCACCAAAACTAAATATAAATGAAGAAACCACTGGTTTGTTTTCCCAATATTAAAAGACAGTTTGATTGACATGCGTGAACAATACTTATCCCAGAAGGCATGAGTTATTTAATGAAAATCTCAGTACCAGTCATGGGATCCCTTTCTATGAGTTACTGGTAGGGGTGCACCAAAGCACCTAAAACATTACAGGCAATTACAATTGCTCTTGGTTTCTCACCATAACTAAATGGTTAGATCCTTTGGCAAAGATACCCACTTTGGTTGTATGGCATCATGAAATCTATCTAAAACTGATCAGGAAACTGTCTTCCTGCTAGCTAGCTCTCATAGTGATGGAAGATATTAATCAGGCTGCTGTAAAGAAAATACGTCAGTGGTCCTACCCAGTGCTGGACCCTACATGCTACAATACCAACCTGCCAGGCAAGTTGTGCCCACTGATGCAAAAGAAGCATGATTGTTCTGGTATAACAAACCACTTCCTGACTGGATTTGTGGCCTATACACAATAGGGATTTTATCCCTTGCATTGTAGATCTTATCAGAAACCCATCATTAGGACAAGCATAGACACAAGGGGGATCCTACTGGAGTTGTTTCACTAGACATATTGTCAAACTGCCTTAATATTTATGTTGATTCACAGATATTTGTGCTAGTTTCAGCCTTGGTCAGATAAATGCAGAGATGCATTAACTGGCCAAGGTGCTGAGGATCAGTGTGACTGTAAGTGCTTAGCTGTAGATTGGATATCTGTCTCAACATACCTGCATCCAAGACTCTGAAAACTTTGTGGAAGAGTAGGTAGAAAGAATGTAAGATAGCTGTGACATGCTGACTTTTAGATATAATGTGGAACACATCTATTAACAGCAGCAAAAGATCAAGCTAATCAAACTTTCATGTGGATGGAAGGTGTGTGGAGGCCCCACTTTTGGTGGAGGAGCTATCAGTAGCTTATGGCTGCTAACTGACAGAGAGTCACTTTCTTAAGGGCTATGGCTGCTGGGAGGTTGCTCATCTCACAGGGCATATTACACTACCTATATGCATAGGATCAGAGCTAATTGTAGACAGGAGCACTAAAATAATAGCAATATTAGGAAAAGAAGACATAAAGGGGCAAGCAGTGTGATATGGATGAGATCAAAATTAATTGTATAGATCTGTGTAATTATCAAATAAAAATAAAAATATTTTTAAAAGAATAAATAAATATGAGTTTGTGTTGAATTATCAAATAACCAAAAGCACTCGTGTTATGACTGCTGACTTTATTTTAGTACATTGTGTAGAATTAAGATGGTCCTAGAAAAGGGCAAAAAAGACTGTTTACAGCTCTGGGAAAAGGTAGCAGATAGTGTTTAAGTCTAGCTCAGCACTGTTGAATGGTCTTGAAGACAGATTCTTCCTGGCAGTTCTGGACAAGGATTTCACTCAGGAAGCTCCAGATGGTATTCTGTTATTTGCTACTGAGTAGCAACACAGGCTCCAAGTTCTGCCTCCCAACCCCACTGGCTGGAATAGCAGTAACTTTGCAACCTAAAACATATAGCATAATAACAAATAAAAAACATATAGATCCATGAGTTCCTGTGAGGAGGCTGGCTGCTCTTAGACAAGAGAAAAACTGGGCATAGAGGTGATGGAGTACAATTAACTCAAGGATCCCTCAGATAAGATCAGAAATTTCAAGCAGTTATTATATCAAGCCACCTCACCTCACAATTTAAAAAGTCAACTCCCTTTGCTAGATAGTTTTATGCCAACTTGACATAAGCTAAAGTCATTTGAGAGGAGGGAATCTCAATTAAGAAAATGTTTCCACAAGATGGGGCTGTGGGCAAGCCTATTGGGTATATTCTTAATTAGTGATTTATGAGGAATGGCCCAGCTCATTGTGGGTGGTGCCGTTCCTGGGTTTTTGGTCCTAAATTCTATAAGAAAGCATGCAGAGCAAGACATGGGGAGCAAGTCAATAAGAAACATTTCTCCATAGCTTCTGCATCAGCTCCTGCCTCCAGATTCCTGTCCCTCATGAGTTCCTGCCCTAGATTCCATGACAAACAGTAATGTGGAAGTCTAAGTCAAATAAAAACTTCCATCCCCAAGTTGCTTTTAGTCATCACAGCAATAGTGACCCTAACTAAGACATTTCCCATATAAGACATCCAAGAAATACCCACCGACCACTTAGTGTATACAAAACCTTTCTGGAGGATGTGGATATAAGTAATAAACAAATGCACTTTAAGAAAAAACATAGAATTAATATAGGCATTGGTAATTCCCATGGATGATAGATTAGGTTTATGTGATTACTGGCTAATACTTCCTGTTAAATCTTCCCAAGGTGCTTAGCTGATCTAGAAACAAATAAGAAAACAATAAAAAACTAAGTAGTCCTGATTTCTTGTAGAGTAGAAAACTTGTGGCATGGTGATGAGCAGTTGGAGAAAATAGTAGAATATCACTGGGAAAGAGTATGGGAATGTCAAGGCTTCCTCTGAGTTGATGAAGGAATACTTAGATACCCTCATGCTCTTACTGCCACTTACTTGCACTGTGTACTTTGAGTACTTTCTTCAAGGTGGAGGTCAGGGGGAATCTACCTTGATCACAGAAAGAGCCATTAAAGTCATCCATATCAATAGCCCAGATCATGGCACCTCCAAAGCTGTTCTTCTTAAGCCACTGAGCCTGGTTAAGAAAAAAGAACAGCAGGTATCACTTGGTTTCTTGGGACTCAAAGTCAGGACCCAGAGCATCCAAGGGACTGACTTTACCTTGATATGAAAGCTCTTGATATTGTCATAGCCAACCCATTCATTACCATGGTAGGCATAGGGAACTTGTTGAGCAGCGTTCCAGACCTGAGTGGCTCCCTTTTTCAGGAATGTGCAAATCTTAAAGAGTAAGAATTTCAGATCCTTTAAATATTAATTCCATGTAAGAAAAAATGTGTATACATAGTTGATTTCCTTCCTTTTATTATCTCCACAAAGATTTCCCCAATTCTCTAATTGATTACATTTGTAGTTAAGAAGATTCAGATGTGTTTTATTTTGTGTACTGGATATCACACCCAAGGCCTTCCAATGGTAAGTAAGTGCTTTACCATTGATCTATATCTGCAGTCCTTTTTTTTGTTTGTTTGAGAGGGGATCATATAGCTTAGACTCACTTCAAAATGGTGATACTCCTACCTCTATTAAGCAATGGGTGTGAGGTACCATGCCTGCCAACTATATTAGTAATATATCACTGTACAGTATGAGCCCATTTTTATTACTAGAAATTGTAGCTAGGGCTGTATATGTCCTAGGCAAGAGATGAACAACTGAGCTATACCTCCATCTTAAGCTATTTTTTAAATGTTCACAGATGGTCCTTATTTTCAGTCTTTGGTTCTTTCTGTAATCCATGGAAATCTGAGATTTTTGGTTGTTTGTGTATTTATTTATGGAAATATACAAATGTACTTAAGAATATGGTATTCAAATTGAAAAGACAGTGTGTTACTAATTGGTTATCATTTCTGGTTACTTACAGATAATGGTATAAAAATTTAAGTCCTTGAAATAATATTCTGCTTAGTGTAAGTAGGAGATAAAATGAAAATTCAGAGTCAGCATTTTTTCAGTGTAAGTGCATGAAATCCATAGAGCACTTTTAGCCACCTACTGACCTCATGGTAGGCCCAGAGTCCGGTTTTCTTTGTGTAGGGTCCTGGATGGCCACCACGATTGCTAGGGGCACCAATTTCAGTTTTAGAGGAGTCACTCAGGATAAAGGTGTGTCCATATGCTGGGAATCCAACAATGAGCTTCTCAGGTGCTGCCCCATTTTTCTTCCAATTTTCCATGATGTATTTCTGCAGGGACAAAAGTTAGCTACAGGGCCCAAGCCACTGACAACCTATGATTAACTATTCTGGCTCTTCATTCTATCAGTTCAAATTTCTCTGTGTTAACTTAAAGGGGATGAGGTCATTTCTTCTAAAACATTTTGATGAATGTGAATATATGCTGAATTAGACATGATTGGTGACTTAAGAAGATGACGTTTGCGTTAATTGTGTTGATTTTGTACCTAAATCTCCATATGATTTGTCTCTTCATTTGTCTATGCAGTATCTTACTATGTTGTAGAAGGCCTTGATCCCAGTTTCAGTTGGAGATTTGTAAAGGGGACTGTTTTCTCCAGTGTAGCCTTCCCAAGATCCATGGAGGTCATAGGTCATGAGTTGAATATAGTCCAAGGACCTGGGTAAGGGGAAAAAGTTCTTATAATCATTTCTTATGGCTATTCCCCATACTTACAGCAGAAAAACACCCTTTAAAAACCTCTGAGCAAAGTCTTTGGGCAGTAAGACATTCCAAAGATGAGAAAACTCTACTCACATTCTAGTAGTAAAATGTGCATCACTTACTGTGACAGTTGGGGGATCTCATAGCCGGATTTGATTGTGGGGACAACACCAGCAACTGAGGCAGTGACCAACAGCCTAGGCCTTTTATTCTTACTCCCCTCCTTCTCAAATGCTTTCCGTATTTCCTACAGAGTAACAAGGTATAAGATGATATTACTGGAATTAGTTTATCCCCTTAAATACATGTTGAAGTGCTTTTACATATTTTACCTTATTTTAGAATGTGAACATCTCAATAAAGTCATTGGGGTAGATGATGTTAATAAACTTTACAAATGTCTAATATTCACATATAATAGAGATTTCACACAAAGTCACACAGAAAGTTAGTAGTCATTCAAAACCAAGATAAAGGTCTTAAATATCTATCAATGCATCCCCTGCATCATCATGCTCTGGAACTACACTTGCTTTTATACCCTAGATCCAGCTTTCAGTTGTGAAGACAACTGGTTCAAATTATTCAACAGGAGACCTATTTCATGAGACTTATAGTCCCTCCAAAGTAACGGAGAAGGGAAAACAGCTGGAAGACAGATCACTTTCACTACCAGATGATAATTCCTTGGTATGTTCTGTGATTCAAATCCTATTTAGACTATTAGGTTTTACACTTACTACAACATTATTTTAGAGTATCAGAAATTATTTTAATAGAAGGGCTCAGAATATTGTTATGGAGATAGTAGTTAAAGTGACTAGGACATTCAACTGGGAGAAGCATTAAAAGCATGGTGCTTTAGTATCTTCAAATATTGAACCTGTACATTTCAGAATGCATTGTTTTATTCTCCATTGTGTCAATGGGGAAAAAATAGAACCGATGTCTGGAAATTATAAATATGACTTGAGTCCTCTTTTTTTTGTTGTTGTTGTTCTTTTTTTTTTTTTTGTTTTTTTCGAGGCAGGGTTTCTCTATGTAGCTTTGCGCCTTTCCTGGGACTCATTTGGTAGTCCAGGCTGGCCTCAAACTCACAGAGATCCGCCTGGCTCTGCCTCCCGAGTGCTGGGATTAAAGGCGTGCGCTACCACCGCCCGGCGACTGGAGTCCTCTTATAGCTAAGAGTCCAGATATTGTTTTTGATAATTAAAACTGTTCCATAAATTTTAAATTGCTACTTTAGAGCCTTCTTAAAATATATGCATGCACACATATAAAAATAGTTAAAATGGACTCACCCTATAAGGGAGCAATAATCCCCCTACTAGATACCACAAGATAACAAATAAAAAGCAAAATGTCAGGAATAAGTTATCTCTTTGGGGGTTGTTGGCTAGTGAGTTCCAACAGATTGGCTGCCCTCCCAACATTTTTGGCAAGACCTCATTCCAGAACACACTACATAATTATGTCTTGTGGAGAAATCAAGAACATGGAGAAATCAAGCTAGCAAGCTTCATCCCTGCTAGATAGTTTTGTGACACTAGAAGGTGTTATCAATGTACTAAAGTGAAAAAATAATTACCACTCTTACCCAGCTGTGAACTCTGAGACTTACAGTAATGACAAAATGGATAAGGTATGCCTGACATGCCCACTGGTACACTTTCTAATTGGATTTAGGGCCCATTCCATAAGAAGAAAAAAACTCACACTCACCATCATTATTAAGACAAAAACAAAACAACAAAAAACTTGGAGATAGACAAGTCATAGACCCTTGAGAAGAATCTACCATTATTCTGCTAAATGGACATGGTATTAAACCAACTCTGAATAACCTATTGTTAGACCCATAGTTAATACATTTCCCAACCCTCATCAGAGAAGCTACTATTTATAGTAGATGGTTTAACACAGAGAACCACACTAGACCAAAGTGCAAAGAAGAAACTGTGGAATGCTTAACCTTAAGTGGGTCATCACAGCCCCTCCCCCAACAGTTCAGAGACCTTTCCAGAAGTAGGGTCAGAAAGAATTTGTGAACTTGAGATGGTGGATGACCACAAGGAAACATTGTTTTCTGCACAAGAAGGGCAAATACACATATTATTTCACAGAGATTGTGACAGCATGCATAGGACCTATATAAGCACAAGCTAGACAAAATTCCAGCATAGAGAGGAGCTAGACACAAAGTCAAAACCCTAACTAAGGTTCTATTGGCAGATGATAGCCACTGGGATGAGGATAGTCAGTTTTCTTTAAGAGTGTAGATCCTAGTACATTGATCATGCTCCAACGAAAGGCCACACATCCAACAATATATAGGCAGAACCAATTGGACTGAGTGGGATTTTTTTAAATTAGGATGTAAAGTTAGTTGGGTAGGAATGGAGGGTAGATCTTAGAGGAGTTATAAGATAGCCAAATATGATTAAAACATACTATATGGAATTCTCAGGGAACTAATAAAAACAAGAAGAGCCAGTGGGGAAAGAAAGAGTAAGCTGGCTTTTCCCATGGTGCCTGATTACCATGTAACACATTCAGAATTTGGCTGATGATCTTGGGTTTGGACTAATACAAAAATGTGAATCTGTCTTCAAAGAGTAACCATAAAATCTACATGGCTACCTTTACTTTTATTGTCCCATTTATTTTTTTCTTTTTGGTGATAACCTACCTTAGCTGATGACTTCAGTACAATGTATCTAGTCAAATACTTTGGCATGAACTCCAGGTGGGTATTCATCCTATGCCTTTAGACTATTCCAGATACATAATACTCATGTTGAGAGATAGTTCTTATTTACAATCCACTTCTCTTTCTCCATTTACCATGTTACTTAGCAACATCCAATTTATTCCTCAATGCTAGAAACTTAAGACTCCTCCACAGTTTAGATTTCAAAATAATTGATCATTCTTGATAATTTTTATTCTGTTTATATTTCTGTTCATATTTTGCCTTCAGTGTTAAGAGCCATTGTTGGGGCACTGATCACTTCTTGTTTGATTTCATCCAAAACCTCCCTATATTTTATTTACCTCTTCAGCTCTAATTTTCTTCCCTGCTTGAATGTCAGACCATTCTTGCAAAAAGAAAATTTCATCATATTTATATACTGTGTCAAGTCCTAAAATTCCTCCATTGTCTTGAGGATAAATTTCAGATTTCTTGGCCTAATATCCAAGTTTCCACATGATTTTATTATTTTCACCTCTTCAGTCTCACATGCTTGAGTCTCACATGTTCTCACAGATTCATCCATACACGTAATGCAATCCCCATGTATTATTAATTTAATGACATCAGGCTATTTTCATCACTGAGATAAACTATTGTATGCAGTATAGTGGCATAGTCTTAGGCATTTGAACAGGTCCCTAGTCAGTGATCTGTTTGGAGATGTTAAGATGGTACAGCCTTGATAGAAGAAAGTCATCAGGCTGGACTTTCAGATTAAAAGCCGTGTCTACTTCAAATTTTCACCCCCTGCTCCATGCTATGGTTCAAGATGTGAGCTCTCATAACACTCTGCCTGCCACCATGCCTGCTGCCTACTGCCATGCTGTCCACACCTTATGGACTCTAACTCTCTGAATCTGTAAGGAATAAAAAACCTTTGTCATGGTATTTTACCATTTTATTACAGCAACAGAAAATAAATAGTACCTAGGAAAGCCCTTTTTAATCTTTCCATGAACATTTAGGTAACTGTGTAGTATGTTATTTATTGTGCCTTATATTTATTTATCATGTCATTTATCAAAATATTCTGCAATTATTATGTTTTAATAATTTTTATTGATTCTTTGAGAATTCCATGCAATATCTTTTAAACATATTAATTTAACTCTCTCCACTTCTCCCAGACCCTCCTACACCTTCCTGTTTGTCCATATTCATGTTCTCTTTCATGCTACACAAAACAAAGCAAAGAGTCCAGTTTGTATGGCCTAACTACTCTTGCACACAGAGCCTGCTTTGGAATGTGGTTGATATACCCAGTGTTAAATTAAGGAAAATTTACTTTCTCTCTTCTAGAACCTGTGAATTATATATGGCTCCTTAGCTAGGAATGTGATTTTATGCCCACTTCATGTCTTCTCTGCTAGAATTTTGTCTGGCTTGAGCTTTTGCAGTTCTTGGACATGCTGTCACAGTCTCTGAAAGTTCATATGTATATCAGCCTTGTGTCCATAAAACTGTTTCCTCAAAATCATTTACCACCTATGGCTTTTAGAATAAATATGCCCCCTTCAATTTTGGGTTTCTATGTTAATTACCATTTACTCCAAAAAGAAGCTTTCCTTATGAGGGTTAAGTGATGCACTCTCTATGGATATAGCAGTGTGTCGTTAGGAATCACTTTGTTACTATGTTCATTTAGTGACATAACTGTAGTTGGTCATCCCATAGGGGCCATGACCTATTTACTCAGGTTCTTGGCCTCTTTGACATTGTCTGACGTGGGCTCTTTCTCATGAATCAGGTCTTAAATTCAATCAAAAATTGGTTCATTACTCACATAACATTTATGTCACTATTGAATCAGTGGGGATATCTTGAGGACAGGTTATTACTGTCCCTTGCATGGGAGATTAATGATTAATTATTTCCTCTGAGGGTTTGTATAGCACGTTCAAGAACTATGAATACTAGCCAGCAGGAATGAATGTCCCATCTGAGTACCACCTAGATTTCTCTATGCTGTATGACTCAAGATTGTGGTAACTTCACCAACAGGGTTTTTACCATAAAGTTGTCAAGTGTAACCAATAGTATTGGCAATAGACTGCAATGTTTGGGAAGTTTGTGGGAACCACTGGGCAACAACTCAAAAAGATGTTTCTCATTTCTGGTATTGGAGGCTTGTATTTGGTAGCATATGATCTTAGGTGAGTTATTGTATTGTACACCTCCATTATATGGTAACCCCACTTCATGTGTGTGGTGGGGTTCTCTCTCTCTCTCTCTCTCTCTCTCTCTCTCTCTCTCTCTCTCTCTCTCTCTCTCTCTCTCTCTCTCTGTCTCTCTCTCTCTCTCTCTCCCCACCCCGTGTGTGTGTATGTGTGTGCATGCGTGTGTGTGTGTGTGTGTGTGTGTGTGTGCGTGTGTGTGTGTGTAATACTTGTGTTAACCAAATGAAAAAATGTTAAGATAAAATCAGTTACTGGTCTTAAACATACGTGGTCAGGGGCTGAAGGGATAGCTAATCAGTTAAGAGCACTGGCTGCTCTTCCAGACGTCATGAGTTCAATTCCCAGCTTCTACATGGTGGCTTTCAACTGTCTACAACTGTAGTCAGTGGGATCCAGTGCCCGCTTCTATTGTACAAAAGTAGATTCAGACAACACACACACACACACACACACACACACACACACACACACTTCTTGTGTTTTAAGAAAGCATGTGGTGAAAATGACTACCACATAGCTTTTTGAATGAAGTAATGATAAATAAGGATCTTTCCAATACTAAGACTCTATAAATCTAAATTTATGTCTAGTTTTGTTGGAAAAGACTTGGAAAGACTGTTTCCTCAAAATCATCCACCACTTACGGTGTTTAAAATAAACCTGCCTCCTTCAGTTTTTGGTTTCTGTGTTAATTACCATTTACTCCAAATAGAAGCTTCCCTTATGAAGGTTAAGTGATGCACACTCTGTGGCTATAGCAGTGTGTTGTTAGGAGTCACTTCGTTACGATGCTTGCTTAGTAAAATGATTGTAGTCAGTTGTCCCTTAAGGGCCATGACTTATTTACTCAGGCCCTTAGCCTCATTGACATAGGCAGGTGTGAGTTCTTTGGAAAGAGATAGCTTTGAATTTTCTAGGAATGAAAAAAGTTATTCCTGCTTTACTTACCTGTATAAGGACAGTAAAGAGATGCTTGTTCCTAGGAGGGCTTCCATGACAGCCAGGGTACTGCCAAGATAAGTTCAGTCCATCAAATCCATACTTGCGCAGGAATTTGATAACTGAAGTAATGAAAGACTGACGGCTCTCAGGAGTAGAGACCATGGTGATAAAACTAAGGAAGACCCAGAATAATCATAATAAGGCATCAGGAATCTGAACACACTAGAATACAAATGTTTGATTGATAAATATCTGCCTCTGAGAACTTCACCATGACCTTCCTGCAGATTAAATCAATTCTCTGGGTTTCTCTTGGCATCCTAGTATAATCCCTGCTTTTGGAAGACTTTCAATTTATTTTATTATTACCGATTCTAAATTTCTTTGGAATTTGGAGCTGAAGTTTTCCTGGTCCTGCCTGGCCCACAGTCAGGACAAATCTCTCCCACTTCCACTGTGTGTCCCCCAAGTAAACACACAGAGATGCTTATATTATTTGTAAACTGTATGGCTGTGGCAGGCTGCTTGCTATCTGTTCTTATGTCTTAAATTAATCAATTTCTATAAATCTATACTTGCCACATGGCTTGTGGTTTACGGGTATCTTACATCATGCTTCTCCTTGTGGCGGCTAGCCACGTCTCCCTGCCTCAGCCTTCCACCTCCCAGGTTTCTCCCCCTTCTTTGTCCTGTCTATACTTCCTACCTGGCTACGGGCCAATTAGCATTTTATTTATCAATCAATCATCCACAGCACTTCCCCTTTCTTTTTTTCAAAAAGGAAGGTTTTAACTTTAACATAGTAAAATTACATATAACAAAACAATTATCAATGATCTTATTGTCTTGAAAGCAGCTAACAAAGCTCAGCATGTTTGGCCTTTAAATAGTTCCCAAGTTCATGTGCTCTCAAAAAAGCCTTATTAATTGTACATCCTCATTTCTTTTTACTTCTTTTGGAAATAAAGAGCAAAAGCATTCCAGTTGCTCCTCTGGCTTTGTATTCTAAGGAATTTTAAGAAGGAGGTTTGTGAGCACTCAGGTGACAAAAGCTTAGGGGATGGAGTACCAGAATATCCATTCAAATTTAAATGTGAAATACACACTACTCTTTCCAATGTCTTTTAGTTAGTATTGAAGTTCCAGTATAAAAATTTATCTAGTTAACATATTCATTTAGTAGACACCCTTAGTACTCTATGTAATATTGGAAAGTGTAAGGAGACAGAAAGCATGCAGTACTAGCTTGTCTTCAACGGTAAATAAATTAGAATCTCTCTGCAGAGGACTTACGGGGCAGCTCTAAAGTTCCAGCATCCAATGGACAGAAGTGTTTTCAGCTGGTTGTTCCTTTAAAAGAACAGAAAAGAGAAAATTCAAATTCAAAATGGGTCCTACGATTTAAAACGGCACTGTTTGTAATATTGGACCTGTTCATCTTACTCGTTCTTGTCATGGTATGATAAAATAAATTTGCAAACCATTTTTCCCACTACTGGAACTTTTGTTACAAAATATTTTTGAATTGCCATTATCCTAAATAGCACCAATGTCACCTGCACAAATCTAACCTAAAGTACAGGGTTTTGTAAGTTAATACTTTTATTTTTGAGATTATAATATAAATATGTTCCCTCCTCTTTCCTCTTTCCAAATCCTCCCATATACACCTCCCTATTCTCCTTCAAATTCATGTCCTCCTTTTCACCAATTGCTATTGTATACTCTTATATGTATGTGTATGTATGTATGTATGTATGTATGTATGTATGTATGTGTGTGTCTAAGTAGTTTTTTTAAAGAATGTCATACATGAGCACTGTGTCTACATCTCTCCCATCTGTTCCTCTCCCCACTCCAATTCCTCCCATGCTTGTCCTCCACAATTCATGCAAAGAAAAGCCTGGACAATATTTCTACTGCTTACAACTTAACAGCTCAATTAGCTCAAATCCTGTTCAATGAAATAAAATGGTAGATCTCATTTGAGATATATGTTTATGTTTTCAGTATCAATGACAATTAATTCAAATTCAGTGGGTGGGAAATACACACATTCTTGGGAATAGTGGTTCTAAAATATCAATTTCCAAACTGCAAGTTTCATGAGAAGACAACACTAAAGTTTTAGGTGCATTGCATCTTCCTCCTCGGGATTCTGAGTCTGTTGTGCTGGAAAAAGGACTCACATATTATGGGGTAATCTGTGATGCAAGAAATCTAAAAGAGGTTATCTCATTATAAATAATAGCTTAAATTCTAGCTGTATCCATGTATGTAAAATTCTAGCTGTATGCATGATAATGCCATTAATCATGGTAGTAGTTGCCTGTCTTCCTTGTCTTATGTGAATCATGTGAATATACTGAACAGATCTGTAAATTCCAAGATACCAGGAATTCTTCCATTTTTCATAAAAGATGATTCTATTAAAATCCAGAAAACTTCTGATTGTTGAGTTATTTCATGTCTAATTTATACTTTGTTCAACCTCTTTCTTTCTGATGTAATTAACTGAGATCATGGAGTTTTTTACTGATTAAAAACACCAAGAAAGGAATAAAATAGCTAATTTTTAAAATACTAAGCAGAGTAGGTGATACACATTATGCACATATTTATCTGCAGGTAGAATTATGAAATTGGACTACTACCTCACATCATATGTAAATACTAAGCCAAAATAGATTAAAGACACAAACATAAGTTGTGAAACTATCACACTACCTGACAGGGGGTAAATCTGCACAACTGTGACCACAACAGTGACTTTTTAGAAAGATCCCCAGGACACCAGCAAGAGAAGGAAAGATGTTCATTGGGGCTATATCATACTGCATCTTCTCACAGCAAAGGAGACACAATTAACAGACCAAGGAGACAGACTAGAGCACAAGAGAAAATATTTGGAAACCATTTATCTGGTAAATGGTTAATATTCAGGAATATCAAGAAGGTATATTTCAGGAATCAAAGCCTCTGAGAATAAACAACCTGAGTGAAAAATGCGTTAAAATCATGACTGGACATTTTTTAAAACAAAACAAAACACTGATAAGTGTACGGAAAAAGTAACTTAAGACCATACAAATCAGAGATAATTTGATTAAAACCATATTGAAATGTTGCCTTCACCTGCTAGAATAACCATAATAAAAATATAAAACATAACTATATTGTCAAAGAAATCTAAAAAGAAAACACTTCGTTGCTATTGGTACAGATTTAATATAGCCAATAGGGAAATAATATAAATAATCCTTTAAACGTTACTAATAGAATTGTCATTAAATCCAGAAAGTTGACAAGTTGGATCCTTTCCAAAGAATATGAAATAAGTATGTTGAAGATATGGTGCTGATACTGTAAAATTCACAATATGTAAGGTATGAAGTTGTCTATTGTGTCCTCTGGTGAATAAGTAGACAGAAAGTACATGCTACATATAAGCATTGAAATTAAACCATAAAAAGAATGAAATATGTCATTTATAACAGCAAGTGTAAACACAGAGGACATGCGGGTGCACAAAATAGGTGACACACAGCAAGACAAGCAGTGCATGAGTGAACTCTTGAATATTTAAACTCAAACGTAGAACAGATTGGTACTTATCATGACCTGATTAGGGGAAAGAGGATTACATTAGGAATATGTGCAAGAAGTACAAAATCTCATTGATTTAGGAAATATAAATTCAATATGCCACATTTATACCACATGGTGCTTATAGTATATAATAATAAGCAGCATTTTGGAAACTTTAAACAGACTTGAATATTAAAAATAGAAGTGTTCAAGGGCAGGAAAGATGCCTCAGTGGGTAAATGTGCTTGCCATCAAGTCTGATGACCTCAGTTCAATTCCCAGTGCCCACATGTGAAAGGAGAGAGCTGACTCCTGCAAGTTGTCCACTGACCTCCACATATGTGCTGTGGCATGCCTGTGAACATTCATTCATATCTACAGACACAATAAATAAATGTAATAAAATTTTATACATGTGTTCAAGATAATATATACATTAATTACCTCAAGAACAATTTTATAATATGTAAATGTTTCAAAATATTATGGTTTTAGTCATAATATGTGTCATTTTGTGGAAATGAAAGGCATCAACTGAGCAACTGAGACTCTATTTCAAATTCATCAACTCTGTACTATTAAAGAGCATTGATGTGACAACTATTGACCCCAAAGACACCAAATTACACACCTTCTCTTTCTCTTACCTTTTTTTCAAGTCATTAAAGTCTTTGTAGTCATCCAAGGCTTTCGATTGGGTCGTGGTGATATTGTTTTTCCACATCCCAGTAAAGGAATATATTAGGTGAGTACACAGGCAGGGGTCAATGTCATTGGGCTTAATACCTTTCACATCTGACTGATAGTGAGCCCAGGTGTTGAAGTAACACATCAGCTGGTAGGCAGAGCCTGTGAGAGGTGAGGAATAAGGATAACAGCCTTTTGTTAATGCTGATAACCTGTGTTCATAGTTTTCCCTTGCTTCCTTCCTTTCCTGTAACTCAGATGCCTGATTTCTGGGTAGAAGTGATTGTGAAAACTCCCACAGACTAACCCATAACTCCAATTTAAGAACAGTAACTGATTTAAAGTAGCTTATGTTCAATTTTGGAAAACTCACTGGGGGTTTGGTTTTCTTAGATTTGTAATAACAGGGGTCCAGTTGTCATGTAGAGCTATGTGGTGACTGATTTCTAGCTCTCTGGTGGCCATGCTGTACATGATGGCAGGGACAATAGAACTGAAACAGTACACTCTCTGCTAAGTAAACCCATCTCATTTCCTAGTATATGTTTTTTCTTGGTAAGGTGTTTTTCAAAAATAAATATTAGAATGTAATTTAATAATCACCTATATTAAGAATAATATTGGATTATAAGTAATTTATGGAGATCTGAGGCTTTGTTAATAATAAAATATACATTCAATGACTTACCCAGCTGGACATTCAGTAGGAGGACATTGAGACCTAGAAACACAGAACACATTTACCTGCTATTCACTAGGATCTAACTCAGAAGCTTGTGGGCTGCTCTGCTTATTATAGATTGTTACATCCTCAGCAATGGTTTTGAGCTGTACCAAGTGGTGATCCTTTTTGCAAATACACCCTCCAACCTGTTCTTTCGCTACTCAGAACTAGCCATAAACCTGTATTCCATCTTCCATGTAATACTTCTTGTTGAATATAAGGGCTCTAGAAGATGGATTGGCTGAAAATACAGTAAAAAATGAAGCATCAAATATATTTATATGACAATTAGTGAGTACTTAGCCAGAAGGCAAGGTGACAGTTTCAAGAAAAGAAACCATCTCAATATTTAGACAGAAGTATGCCCTTGGCCTTCAGAAAAACACCTAAAATGCATGTGACTGTTCCTCTTTTGCTCTGTTCTGCATTATTATTTGCTAAATCAGTTTTAGCTGTAGACTTTACACAGTACATTTAAATTCTTCTTTGGGCCCCCTCTAAAATTCTTTCAGAATTTCACCCATGTGGTAGTTTGAATGTAATTGGTCCCCATAATCTCTGAGGGAGTAGCATTATGACTTTGTTGGAGTGGGTATGGCCTTGTTGGAGGAAGTATGTCACTGTGAGGGCTGGCTTTCAGGTTTCCTAGGCTAAGGATACCACCCAGTGTCTCAGTTGACTTCCTGTTGCCTACAAGATGTAGCACACTCATCTCCAGCACCACATCTGCCTGCATACCACCATGCTTTCCACAGTGATGATAATGGACTGAACCTCTGAATCTGTAAGCAAGCTACCTCAATTAAAAGTTTTACTTTATGAGAGTTGCAGTGATCATAGTGTCTTCTCACAGCAATAAAAACCCTAAATAGCCGGGCGCATGCCTTTAATCCCAGCACTCGGGAGGCAGAGGCAGGCGTATCTTTGTGAGTTCGAGGCCAGCCTGGGCTACCAAGTGAGTTCCAGGAAAGGCGCAAAGCTACACAGAGAAACCCTGTCTTGAAAAACCAAAAA